TCTCTGTGAAATGCTGCAGCTAGCGCAGCCTATTGTGAATGCTCAGTCTAGTTAGCATACCTACCAATGATGGCAGATAAACATTTTTCCTGTAATGATAAGTTATTTCTCTGCCATTAGCACATTTACACATAGCAGTGAGTGAATAGCAGTGAGTGAATGAGGTTGATTGACAGCACTCACTCCTAGCGAGTGCTGTCAGACCCTCCTACTGGTTCTGATTGGTTGTTTTAGCCGGAACGTTGCATTACTTTAGCTAACAATAGTAGTTCAGGGAGGAGGTGGAGGAGAATGATTGTTTTCACAGATTATCTGTCTCATAACAAACTGTCACAACATGGTGACAACTTTAACAAATATGGAGAAAACATATTTTCTTATACTGCAGTTATACTGCAGCTTGAATAAAATGCAACTACATAGCATTTTTTGAGAAGTCTGGATTGCTTTATGTGTATTTTGCACTTTTGCCTACGACTGCTCATGGAGAGAGATATTTCAGTAATCTAAAACGAATAGAAAAAATGTAAGCAACTTACTTGCATACTTATGCAGACTGTTGGATGTAAAATTCACTAGCAGTGAATATTGTGCTAGTATTAGTACTGAACCAAAGAAAGCAAGGCAGTTGAAAGCCTTTACAATTGTGATGCTTTTTATCAGTCAAATAAACTCAAAAACTTGTAACATCAGCTGTGCGGGGTTGGCCCACTCTAATTTTTTGTCAGGGGGCCCAAGATTCCTGGCAGCGCCCCTGGGCGAGTACCTTTAAAACTGTTTTTATCTTGATAGTTCATAGGATATTTTTCCAAATGTCTTGGGAATCAAGATATTTTTTGGCTGATTAGTTAGTTTTAGTTTTTATTAGCCTGGCCATCGCCTTATCATACAATTCAGCTCAATTTTCATCTCCCTTCACTCACTCTGGGTTTCCTCCTATTGTCTTGAATTCCTTCTGTAGATTTTCTGCCAGGCCAATCAGTGAACAGGAGAAAATGCAAACAATGACGTTGATCTTCTGCTCTGTTTTAGAGTTGTAATTTTTCTGGCAGCAGAGGAAGTCCTTGTGGGCAAGCTTCCAAAAATTAAATCAGCAGCCGTCTTGTTCAGATCGGTACTTCTCTCTTGGTTACTTATAACACAAACAATTTCCAGCAAGCTTCACTCTGTCGACTGGGTAAAATTTAAAAGTTCAACTGTTTCCACACCTTTAGCAAGCAATCTCTTCTCAGTAGCAGAAGGTCCAGACCCTCTGCACAGTAAGCAGCCTCAGACGTTTCCTATGATGTAAGTTTTGTTTCTTTCTTACTGTTGAATCATGAACCCCAGTCTTCAACTGAGGCATGTGAGGCTGACAGTGATTCTCATGTTCTGGCTCTTTTGTAACTTCCTGGATGAACCATGAAGATCGGCCACTTTGGGTTTCCGTAGACCGGCCTTGGAAGGATCACATCTTGTCTCTGTTTCATCTGTTTGTTGTTAAAAGATCTCACTTGCCACTGACTTCTAAAGCTTCACAGTTGAGCATGTAGCCTTTCACAGGCTGACAGATGTCAAACACTTTTCTTCTCATCTGTTCTTGATCATCAGGATGGATCACAGATCGGAACGCAATGTTCTGAGCTTTTTTTCAGCCAAATTATGTTCAATTTTAGTGATTTTCCAATTCCACAGACCTTTAAGAAACTAGTCACAGTGCAATTATTTTTTTATCAGCAATGTTCAAGAAATTATTTTTAATAGAAGCTTTGTAAGCAAGGTGCCAATATATTTGTATTACTGTATTGGAGGGCGCTACAGCAATAAAAACTGAATAAGACGCAGTTGATGTATTTGTCACCAAATCGTCACAAGCTACTCTGATTATGCATAAATTGCTTTGTGAAAATTTGCTTTAAGCAGATACTGTTCCTCCATGTTTGTTGGTATCTCAGCTTATTAAGAAATATGTTTTTGTTGCTGCTTCCTCTTTAAAGACCATTCTTTTAAGCTGAGTTCAGCCACAACAACGCCACAACTCTGCTACGGATTAAACAAGATACATCTTTGTCCTCCCAACACTTACTGCCTGGGTCACTTTAAGCACCACAAGCAAACAAAATGTGTTTCTACGTCTAAATAGTAGCAAAGCAAATGATTTATAAATGCTATTGTTGGTATCCATGTTGATGATTCCTGCGAAGTGGAACATTTTCCTTTAAAGGAGTTCTGACTTCTTTCTGTGAAGTGATGTTCAGATGATCTGGAGGCAGTAACTGTCAAACTGGAATGCAAATCTGGAACTGGAAACAAAAATCCTGTGACAATTTGCCACTTGGAGTCACATATGGAGAATAAAACGCCATAACAGCAGAAAAGCATCAGTAATATGCAGATTGCTGACCAAAATATTCAAGAATTAAGACTGAGAAATTCAGTCTTGTGTTAATTCCTATGTGAAGCTAAGATTTTAAATCTTTTTTTTCTAGACACTTCCTGAATCTCAGTAAAGGAAATTAAAAGCAAAATTCTGAAAAAGGTGTGTGAATAGCTTTGCTAATGTTAAACTTCACTTACTGTTAGGTTAAAAGAAAAATCTTTCTACCAACATTTGCAAAAATGAGGCACAGCAGAAAATGAAACAATTTCAATCTTTCAAGTTTGTGAAAAACAATGTTATTAAATATCCCAGAGAGTTTAATAAGCTTTTTGATACTTTGATTTCTTAAATAAATAAGGGGGTAGAGTTTTCTAACTAATAAAACTACAATACTAAATCCAAAAAAGGGACATACATACTGTACAAGGCTGCAATTAGTGAAGTCAAGTCAAGTGTCAAGTGTACTTTATTGTCAAAGATCTATGTAACAGGGTTAACACAGAAGTTTGAAATTGTGTTTCACCAGTCTCCAATGTTTCACCAGTCTTCAATGTGCAGTTAAACTAAATAAGACATTGACAGTAACCCCTCTGCTCCCCCTCTACCCCCCCACACACACTGCAATACACTGTGCAATAAGACAATAAGGCAACAAGAAGAATATATAGATGGACAATAAATACACAATCACACACACAGTGCAATAAGAAGACTAACATACTGATGGACAATATACACAAAAGTACACACACATACACACACACACACGTTTGCATTGACTTCCATTCATTTCTACAGCCTAAACCTTACCTTTACCCTTTTCCTAACCCTATCCATCACATACCTAACCTGTTAGGGTTAGGTGTGTGATGAACTGAGTAACCAAAACTCAATTCATACCCTAGTCCTAAATCTGACCCCTGACCCCCCAAAAAAAATCCCTTCTCACCCTCCGCGGGGTCATCCTCTGAGCTCGGGTCCTCTACCAGAGGCTTGGGAGTTTGAGGGTTCTGCGCAGTATCTTGGCTGAGCCTAGAACTGCACATTTCTGGACTGAGATGTCTGATGTTATTCCTGGGATCT